CAACAAGATCCAGGTTCTCAACATACTATTGAGAGTACCTAGGACCCTTCTGCATATGGCTGTCCAATTTTCCCAACACCATTTATTGAAGAGACTATCCTTTCCCCATGGTACATTCCTGGTCCTTGGTCATAAACTAATTTACCACAACATGGGCGTTTATTTCTGGGCTCTCTCTTCTATGTGTCTGTGTTTACACCAGTAACTGTTTTGATTACTTATGGCTTCGTATATATACACATTTGTAACTCATGTTTGGATATATATGATATGTCCATATGAGTTACATATGTGCATATACACTTATAATATGTGACATCCTTAATACAGATTCAGGAATATTATTCAGTCATGAGAAGGAAAATCGTGCCATCTGCAACAACATAGATGAATTTTGAGGGCATTTTGCTGGGTGCAATTAGCCAAATAAAGACAAATACTGCAGGGTATGACTTATATGGGGATCTTAAGAAAAAGAAAAAGGTACAGTCTATAAACCACAGAGTAGAAAAGTGATTGTCAGGAGCTGGGGGTGGGGCACATAGGGAGAGTTCGGTAAAATGGCACAGACTTTCAGCTGTCAGATGAACAAGGTCTAAGGATATAATGTAAAGCATCGTGATTGCAGCTGATGACCCTGTATTGTAGAATTGAGATTTGTGCAGACCCGGCATAATGAAATTCATGAAAACTAAAAGACCAAGAAGAATTCCAAAATCAGCCAAAGGAAAATGATTCATTTCATGTAGGAAAGCAACTCTTTTCAAGGCTGTGGGTTTCTCACCAGAAACCACAAGGGCCAGAAGGAACCAGCAGTTATTCATAAACTGCTGAAAGAAGTGCAGCCTGATACTCTATACCCAGCAAAAATGCCCCTTGGGCATGCCGGTGAAATAAAGATAATCCCAGATGAAGAAAAAGTAAGAGAATTCATGCCTCGAGCTGCTGCTCTGGAGGAAAATGTTAATGAAATTCTTCAGACAGAAGAGAAATGGTATCATAGGGAAACTGAGAACATCAAGAATATAGGAGGAGCAACAAAAATCGTAAAAACACGTATAGAGGGGCGCCTGGCAGCACGGTTGGTTAAGCATCCGACTCTGGTTTCTGCTCGGGTCATGATCTCAAGCCCTGTGTCGGGCTTGGGATGCTTTCTCCCACTCTCCTTCTGCCCCTTCTGCTTGTGCTCTTGCTTTCTTCCTAAAATGAATCTTTTTTTAAAATGTGGGGGGAGGGGGGACCCTCCATATATAGTGAAAATCAGTAACGGAGATGGAGCTGGACCTTCCAGCAGGGGACGCTCGCAGCCCTCCCAGTGAGGCCCTCCGCGGACCCCATTGGAAGAGCCCAGCTCGGCCTCCCCTGGGCCCGGCCTGGGAGGTGGGAGCCCTGCTGGACAGATGGACAGATGCTTCCCTGCACCCCCCTCCCGCCCGCCCGCCTCAGGTTTTGCCAGCATGTGGGTCTCAGATTGCAGTTCTTTTATTCCTGAAAAAATCCATCTGTTCCTGGTAAAACAACTGGCAGTTTTTATTGTTTAGGCTAGCTACACAGAGCCAAAATTTTTTTTTTTTACACAGAGCCCAATTAGAGTTATAGATCTGTAATGTCATGTAAACTTAATATATTTCAAAAGGATTTTATTTATTTATTCATGAGAGATACAGAGAGAGAGAAAGAGAGAGAGGCAGAGACACAGGCAGAGGGAGAAGCAGGCTCCATGCAGGGAGCCTGACACGGGACTTGATCCCAGGACCCCGGGGTCACGCCCTGGGCCAAAGGCAGACACTCAACCACTGAGCCCCCCAGGCTGCCCTATTTCTTAGTTTAAATTCAGAATTTATCACCATACAGTTTGCTGGGGGTTTCGAGGTAGCAGAGGTGATCCGCCTACAGCCTGAGGGTAAGGAGACCTACATGGTGGGTTGGCTGCTATGTTCCACATGAAGTGCTAAGATATTAAGTCGAAGCAGGCTATGAAAAGTGTGTATATCATTCCTACAACCACTAAATACCATGTATACAAAGAAATCTAGGAAGAAAGCAGCAGGGCAGGAAAGGAGAAACAGAAAAAATGACAAAGTCTTGGGCCTAACCCCAAACCATGCGGCCCTTCCATCCACGGTGCAGGGCCTTGCCTGGGATGGGCGTGTGCTGCACACCAAGCAGAGCAAAGGAGGCTGTCTCTGGTCCTGTGCACTCCTGCTCACCCCGCCGCTCTGAGTCTTCCCCACTGAGAAGTGGGGTCCAACCACCTAGGCTCTGACACCATCTCCCTGGAGACGCGTCAGCCCCACGGATGAGGGGCTCTGTCCCACAAAACTGCCCCGCTTCGGATGCCAGACAGGTCAGCTATAAACTGGGCCTCCCACCACCCCCTCGCTGGGTTTGATAATTTGCTAGAACAACTCACAGAACTCAGGGGAACTCGATGAAACCCAGATGACAAGGCTCCCAGGGCGAGGTCCTGAAGGGTCCTGAGTGCCACTGCCTCTCATCCTCAACCCTGTGGAGCTGGGCCGAAACCACCTTCCCGGGATCTTTCTGGTGGCTTCATCACACGGCCATGACTAGTTAACTGTCTCCGGAGGGCGCCCTGCCCCCCCCGGCCCTCGGGATGAGGCTCCTAGTCATGGCCTGGTCTTTCTGGTGTCCATCCCCATCCTGGAGCCGTCCCAGAGCCCACAGGCCCTCCCTGGGAAAAAAACAAAACAAAAAACTCCTTTCATCCAAGACACTTCATGGGATTTAGGAGCTCTGGTCAGGAGGTGGACAGAAAGACCAAAATATGTTTTTTGTCTTGTGTTTTTAGAGAAAGCAAGTTAGGGGGCTCCACACCCAGCACAGAGCCTGAGGCGGGGCTCGATCGCGGGGCTCGATATCATGATCCTGAGATCACGATCCGAGTCGAAATCAAGAGTCAGATGTGCTTTTTTTGGTATATTTTTTATTGGAGTTCGATTTGCCAACACATAGTCTAACCCCCAGTGCTCATCCCGTCAGGTTAGTGCCCATCACCCAGTCACCCCAACACCCCCCCCTGCCCACCTCCCTTCAACTGCCCCTTGTTTGTGTCCCAGAGTTAGGGGTCGCTCATGTCCTGTCTCCCTCTGTGATTTTTACCACTCATTTTAAGAGATGCTTAACCGACTGAGCCATCTGGGTGCTCTACTGTATTTCTCACCACATCACAATATCACAGGCAAACACACTGAATTAAAGACAGGGTATAGTTTGGACGTGTTTTTTTTTGTTTTGTTTTGTTTTTGTTTGTTTGTTTTTAGTTTGGACTTTTAAAAATCACCAAATTCTATGCTGGCTTCGAGGCACTTGCTCTAAATATAATAACGCACGCTGGTTAAAGTGAGAGGTAAGCGCCCGTTCCATGCCATCATCACCCAGATCCCATCACCCCTCAGACATCGGAGATGCCACCTGCTGTGAATGCACAAACACAAAGCTTCAGCACAGAACCTAGCAACAAATAAAATGGACTATACACCACATAATTTACGGTGAGGGGTCTGCATCTGAAAGCCAATTAATATATCATATCATAGAATTTTTTTTGACAGAAACAACACATGATCACTTCAAAAGATGAAAAAAAAAAACATTTGACAAAATCCAATCCGCCTTCCTGATGCCTGGGTTCTGGGATCGAGTCCCGCATCGGGCTCCCTGCATGGAGCCTGCGTCTCCCTCTACCTATGTCTCTGCCTCTCTCTGTGTGTCTCTCATGAAAAATAAAATCTTTTTAAAAAAACATAAGTTGTACACTACACAAGAAAACAAAGAATACGTTTGTGACTTGAGGGTCAGAGACATAACCAAAAGCACGAGAAACGGCCCACTGATAACTGGTAAACCAGACCGGCTGCTCTGAGAAATCCCCAGTAAGAAAGGAAAGCACAAGCTGCACATGCAGGAACAGCCACACGTCGCAGCAGCAAGCGTCCTGTGTACAAAGACCACAAAGAGCCTTCAAATTCACAGTAAGAAAACAATTCAGTGTTTTTAAGAAATGGACAGGGGCAGCCCCAGTGGCACAGCGGTTTAGCGCCGCCTGCAGCCCAGGGCGTGATCCTGGAGACCCGGGATCAAGTCCCACGTCGGGCTCCCTGCATGGAGCCTGCTTCTCCCTCTGCCTGTGTCTCTGCCTCTCTCTCTCTCTCTCTGCCTCTATGAATAAATAAAATAAAATCTTAAAAAAAAAAAGAAATGGACAAAAAACTCGGACATGTCGCCAGAGTGGGGATGCCGATGGTACAGCAGTGAAACAGCCCAACGCTGCTGACACTGGGGACACGACAGGTGTGGACCAGCGTGAGCTGGCACACGGGGCTGGCGTGGCCGCTGAGGGCCACCTGGCCAGTCTTAGACCCTGGCACACGCACTAACCCCTGCGTCTCACCCTTTACCCTAGAGAAAGGAAAACCTACGTTCCCATGAAAACCTGTACATCCGAGTTCACAGCGGTTCCCTCCACGGTCTGGAGGGACAAGCCCACTGTTCTCAATAGGTGCTCCGTGTGGCGTGGAACACGGCGCGGGGCGGATGAGGCCTGGCAGCCCCCCGGGGGCCCACACAGGCCACTGCTCCTACACCACACCCTGGCGGCGAAATCACAGCGACCGCCGGCCCGCGAGCACGAGGCCACGATGGGACGGGTCGGCCCGGGCCAGCCTGACTGCGACCAGGCACACTGAAGGAAGGAGACTCCCCCTAGAAGAGTCTGGAAGGTGGGAGGGGGCTCGGGGAGGACCCTGCCCTGCTGCCCACAAGAGGCGTCCGTGTCCCCCCTCCCCACACCAGCCGACGCCCAACTTCCTCCATGGGACTTGTACTTGCACTTGCACACAGAGCAGTCCCTCCTGCGTTTCCACCTGGCCCTACCATTCCCAAAGAAACCCAGTCTGCTGGCATAATGACCGGCTGTTTTGCTCTCAAGGCTGGCCTGGTGGCACTCGATAGGTCGACACAAACTGCATGCCCCAGGGTCAACCTCGCTGTGTTACTTTAATATATTTAAATGCAGTGAGTGGCCAGGGAAGGCCTCAGCTGGAGACCTGGGATGTCCAGCTGCAAAGCCTGGGCATGCCTGGGGGGTGAGCAGCAGAGGGCCCTCCCTGGGAGGCATCAGCTTGCTCAGAGCACTGGGAGTGCAGAGGAGCCCCGGGGTCGCAGAGGGGGGCAGGCAGGAGTGTCAGGCCCCTGGGGGCCCCGGAGGCAGGTAGGGAACTGCTGGAGTGCTGGGAGCTGGGAGGGACGCCAGTGACCCGCCATTCCCAGAATGGGGACCTGCCTTCTGGGAAGGGGACCTTGGACGAGCCAACGCAGAGACAGGAGGCCAGGCTGGGAGGTGGGGGCAGTGGGGCAAGTCCTCTCCCCACCCCTAGCTCCCTACCTCTGTGCCCATCCATCTGCAGATGCCAGCAGTGGCCCCAAGGACTCCTGGTGGGAAAGAGCTCCAGGTCCCAGCCCCTTTCTCGGGTCCGGGAGGCCACCATACGCCACCTCTGGCCCTGCAGCCCGCCCACCGCACACGTGGTGCTGTTCCTGTCCCCATGGGCCCAGGGTCACACAGCCATGATCCCCCTCTGTGCCCAGTGATACCCTGCGGCTTATGGGGGCCTGGGGCCCTGGTAGGTGGCCTCTGGCAGAAGCAGGCAGCGCTCTCCCAGGCACCAGTGGCACATTCAGAACACAGCTTGGTTGCTTCCACGTGCTCATTTCATTTCATCGGACTGGAAGTGGGAGGGGGGGGTGGTGGGGGGAGGAGGGTGGGCAGGACCTGGGGCCCACGGGGCCTGGGTCAGGGAGCAGGACCCCACATAGCTGGGGCTCCCAGTCAGGGGCCAGAGGGCATGGGGATGCCCAGGTCTCTTCTCCCTGGAGCCCACAGGGCCTGGCTTGCTGGAGCTGAGCGGAGCAGAGCGGCCAGTGGGTAGGTTCAGGCATTTCTCTGCTCCGGGGGAAGGTACTCAAGGCCCAGGTGCCTGAATATGTCTTCCTCCGAAGCTGCATGGAAAAGCATCTTCTGCAACAGGAGTGGGGGTGTTAATGCCTGGGAGCCCCCCACCCCACTGTGCTGGCTTCCTTGAGAAGGGTGGGGAGGTGGGGTAGGGTAGGGGAGGGGGCGGAGGGGAGGGGGAGGGGAAGGGCAGTGGAACCCAGCAGGCTCCTCTCCCAGGCATCCCTCCCCAGGCATCTCCCCCCCAGCTGGCTCCTCCCCCAGCAGGCTCCTACTCCAGGGCATCCCTCCCCAGGCATCCCCCCAGCAGGCTCCTCCTCCCACATCCTCCCCCAGTAGGCTACCCCCCAGCAGGGTCCTCCCCCAGGCATCCTCCCACCCCCAACACACCTGCTCTGGATCAAAAAGCCCGCAGCTGTTCAGCCACAGCCCCCTCTCCTTCCGGCAGAAGCGGCGCAGCTCCCTCTGGAAGTGCTGTGGGGAGAGCAGGAGTGGCAGCGCTGCTCACGCCCCCAGGCCCGCCCCGCAGCACGCACCCTACCTTGGAGCCTGTCCAGCCCAGCAGGGCGAAGGGGAGCCTGCTGATGGGGACGGCCACCAGGTCCACCCGCACAGCCTTCCGGGTGGGGCAGGGCCCCTGGGTGCTCCCCACAGGCACCCCTGAGGGCTGAGGCAGGCCAAGAATGCAGAAAGTCCTCTCAAAGGCATCCATGGGGTGGCTCTGGCGGGGCGGGGGCTCGGCGTGTCCACAGCCGCCTGGGTGGTGCTGCTGGTACAGGACGAGGCCCTGCGGGGACAGCAGGCACGGCGGCCACCGTGGCATGGGGCTGGGGGCCAGGAGCCAGGGCCAGGCCGCACACTCGGGACAGGCCCCGGGAGCCCCTCACCTGCTTCTCCAGGCACTGCATCACTCTGGGCAGCAGCCCCGCCTCCCGGCCCTCCTGGGGGTGGCTGAGGAGCAAGTCCACGTCGTGGCCCTGCAACTTCCCCCTGAGGGGGTCCGGTCTGAGCTGCGGGCCCCCCCAGGGCTGTAGCTTCGGTGTCCTCCCGAGTCCTGCTGGTGGGGAAGGCCCTCCCTCCGTGGCTGGCCTCTGGTGCCTTTGTGGGGGAGGACCAGGGCCATGGCTGGGGACGCCAGATCCCTCACCTCCGGAAGCCGCCAGCCAGTGTCACAGTGGCCCCAGGCAGGACGGGCGCCACAGCTGCCTTCACCAGCTGCAGCAGCGCCTCGGCGTCGGGCCGCTTGACCGGGGTGCTCAGGTCCCGGTAGTGCTGGAGCCCTGAGGACAGCACAGCTCTCCTGACCTTCCAGGCCCCACCGGCTCCCGCTCTCCACCGCCCCTCCTCCCTTTTCCGGAGCAAACTCTCCCTTGGAGGGGCCTGTAGATTCACGTGCAGCAGCTGAAGGGAAAGCCAGAGGCCCCCTGTGCCCCTGTCCGGTTCTCCCACCAGCAGCACCCGGCCCGGCAGGATGCTGAGAGGGATGCAGCCACAATGCACCCTTTGAATGCCTCGGTTTCCCATTCCTAAAAGGGACCAGAAGATGATAAAGTCGTGGAGGTGGCGGGCGGCTGTGCACTCAGGGAGCCCCTCACTGGGCCCTGGGCCCTCTCGGCACCTGCATGAGGGTTCGTGAGGACGGCTGCTTCCGCACTTAGGAGAGGCCCGACAGGGGGAGCCACAGCCCTTGGCAGCCCTTGGCAGTGTGGGCTCTCAGTAAGTGCTGCTGGCGGTTCCCCCTTCACCACGGCAGGGGAGAGGCGACTGAGCGGCACCAGTGATGACATTGCCCGATGTTCCATGAGTCACAGGATTCCATGAGTCTCAACCCCCTCCAGCCTGAGGGAAGATGCTCGACGAAGTGGTGGGTGCAGGGCTGTGGGACACCCTGGGCAGGCCCCCAACCCCGGCCACATGGAGAGAAGAGAATGCGATAACACCTGCTACCTGCTGGCTCGCACGGAGAAACACAGACCCCGTGCTTCACAGCGAACTGAGCCTCAGAGAAGTCGACCTGCCTAGTAAGTGGCTGAGACAGGCCTCAACCCAGAGCTGACAAGCTCTCAGGTGCCACCTGCTATGAGCAGGCCCCGTCCTGAACCTCTCCTGTCACACAGGTCCCTGTGCCATCAGTAGGTGTGCCAGGACACCAGCCCCACAGAGCATGGGCCGATCGGACACAGCCTTCCCTTCCTGGAATCAGGAGTAAAAGGCCCAGGCCTGGCCCTGGTCCAAGTCCAACCAGGAGGTGAGAAGGTCTCAGCAGCCACGGTGCTGTCCCTGTCCACTACGAAAGGGCTGCAATGGATCTTGACCCCATTAGGTGGGAACCAGGAAGCCCAGCTGAGGGGCCTGCGTGCCACCAGGGCCCCGGGGCCCCATCCTTTCTGAGGCTCACCTGCTTTCTGCTGCTGGGTCAGCCTCTGGGGCTGCTCCTGGAGGCTGTCCAGGGTCCGCAGCCCTTCCCGGTACCACCGGTCAGCAGTCTTTACCCCAACGCCGAAGATCCCCGTGAAAAGCTGTTTGGGGGATAAGCACAGCATGGTCAGGAGGAAGCACAGGTTGGAGCTGGAGTCACTGCCTGGCCACAGGGAACCACACCGCGGGAGCTACCTCTCATCGGGGCGGCTGGCCCCACAGGGCTCTCCCACAAAGGGTGGGCCCACAGCTCAGTGCCAGCAAGTCACCTCTTTCATCGCCAGCCACGGCTTATTGGTCAGAGGTAGGCACCTGCCCCAGCCAATCCCCTCCCTGGAAATTTTTGGAAGCAAAACAGAAGGTCAGGTCTGTGCAGTGGTGGAGGCCGTAACCCAGGGAAGGGGAGCCTCCTACGGCCAGGTCTCTGTGGGTGGAGGCAGCCAGCGTGCTGGTAGGAGGAGGAACCTGGTGGCATTGGGGGCCGCGAGCCCTGCCCATCTTGGGCTATGCTGGCCATCGCCGCCTCCCTCCTCTAGACCAGGAGCTCGGGTCCCGACAGAAACCATGCTCAGAACAACCTAACCATGCTGCTGACGGCAATAAACTCCTAACTCTCAATCTCCTCTCTATGGGTCTGGGCACCCGCTAGGCACCTACCTGGGACCCTCCGTCCTTCATATGTGGCTCCCTCTCTGAAGCCCCTGTTGGCCCTGACGACATTCTGGGCCACCTCCCAGAGCCTGCTGACCCTCCCTGCCAGGGAAGCCCCACACCCCCAACGTGGGCTGACCGGACAGATGTCAGAGCAGCGTGACTGAGGTGGCCAGAAACTCTGGCTCACCAGGTCAGCAGCGGCCAGAACAGTGGAAGGTGTGCTGTGACACAGGCAGGGCGACAAGCAGGGTGTGAGATCACAGGGAGGCAGGGCAAGGATGAGCACCCCATAGACTCAAGTGTTTCCATGACCCTCCAGAAGGTTAAGTTCCGTCCGGTAGGCTGTGTTTAAGGTGCCGGAGCATACGATACACTGGAGCATATTCCACTGATGGTCCAATGAGAACAGATGGTGCTGAGCGATCGACAAAATTCCCTGTACTAAACCCCAGCTTCTCCTTGCCCATCCCGGCTTGGCTGCCTCGCGCATATCGGGTGTCAGCCTAGCTGCCACTCCTTGGCGAGACCTCCTCTGACCCCTGGGCGCCCCTGCTCACCTCCTGGATGGGGTTGGAACCATGCTGTCATCTGGGGGAGGCTAGTGGGCTCCAGGTCCCTGCTGGGCTCCCCACTGCACATACCTTCATGGTTTGGTACCGCTCCGAGAGCCGGACTCTCTCTACTTCCTCACACACTCCCTGTTCCAGCAGCTCCTAGGGACAAGGCACAGGTCTCAGCCTGACTTCAGACCAGAGCTGGGCCCCTGGGACCAGGCGGCTGCATCCCCGCAGGGTCCCGGGAGGCAGCAGTGCTCCTGGCCTCACAGCCCCGGGGTCCCGGGAACACAAATGACCAGGCCTGGGATGTGTAAACTGTGGCTTTTCAAGACATAGCTGGTGTATTCAATGGGACTTCATTCAAAAGCTTAGCTGACTTCAAGAGTCTGTTTGGGGCCGCACGTACTCCCCCAGTGGTGAGTGTGCCATCAGCTGGTCTGGCTTCACAGGACACATCAAGGAGGTCATATCTTGGATCCTTAAATACTTTCTATTTTAAAAAGAAATGCTCCAAGGCAGGGGTTCCCTCCACCATCGCAGATGGCGGGGCCGATGCCCACACTGCCAGCGACCAGTCCTGTCGGTCCCTCCCAGCCACCGGATGTGGGCTGCACTTACAGAGGAGGACTCGAGGGTGGCTGGCCCCAGCTGGAAGCCAGCCTCCATAGGGCACTCAGCCTCTGACCACCTGTGTCATGACCCCCGGGCCACCTCTGGCCTGCATTCCTGATCCACCCCTTAACTGTACTGAGCACCTACCTGGACGACCCTGCGGGAGTGTTCCCCAAAGTGTGGCAGCCCCTGCAGCTGGCTCAGGGCCGTGACCGGGCTTGGAAGGGCCTTGAGCACTGCGGCTGCCCTATGGAAGGAGAGGAAGCGGCCCTCGCTGCCCTCAAAGCCTGCGGCCTCCGCCAGCATCTCCAGGGCCTCCTGCAGGGAGAGGCTGTTAGTGAAGGGCAAGGGTGCCTCACTCCCCACCCTCTAGCTCTCAGCCACCTGTCCCCAGGCTGGCACGGGCCTGCTCCCACCCCAGGATGCTGGGAACCCAAGGCTCACAGAGAGGCTGCTGTTGTGGTGTGTGAGGGGTGTGGGCCGCTGGCAGGCATAGGGCAGCATCCTCGCTGGGCAGGGCAGCCCTTTCCTGGGCGCAGCCACCTGTGGACAGGCCATACAGAGGCCACTCGGAGGCTGCCCCCAGACCCTGGCCTCTGACAGGGACAGGAAGCACAGAGGCAGCCCTGCCCTGCCAAGCTGGCTGAGGAGGGGCTCTTCCCCCAGAGCAGTACAGATGCCACCTGTTGACTCTCACAGAGGACTGTCCCTGTCGCTGCGCACAATGCAAGCGCTCCACCTCCCGAACCCTGCCAATCATGCACCAGCAGCGCACGTCATCCCCACCTCACAGACAGATATATGGGCTGGGGGCCCACAGGTGGAGCCAGGGCGGCACCGCGGGCAGCCCGACTCTGAGCCCACCCCTGCATCCCCTGGCTCTGCATGCCCAGGAAGCGCTGACGGGGCGGGGGGGGGGGCAGAGTCCACAGACCCACAGCACCCCGAGGACAGCCTCCTGCTGGTCCTGGCGCTCTCTCACCTGGGGTTACTGTCTCACTACTTGAGCAAGAAAGGCCTGAAAATGCTAAAAACAAGTGGACCCCAGGAGCTTACACCAATGACAGGAGCAGAAACCAGGAGGGCCTGGCCTTCCAGGGCCCCTGTGGTCTGCACTACCCCTACCCCTCGCCTTACCTGAAGCCAACACGTCGCCCGTCCCACCGAGCTACAGCCTGCACCCAGCCACCCAGCTTACCTCCAGGCGGTGCCGGCACTCCACGGGTACCGGCTGCCCGGCTGCCATGCTTTCTGTGAACCAGCTTATGTCCAGCAGTGCTGGGCGGGAGCATCGCTGGGGAGAGGCTGCGGCCGCCCTGTGCTCCTGCCAGTGGCTGGCCTCCTCTGCTGAGGTCTGTTCCATCACCACGTGTGTCACCTCAGAGCTGGGCAGGGAGAGAAGTGAAGGCCAGAGGTCCCTGTCCACCCTGCTCCGTGCCACCAGGCCTTCACTTACTGTCCCCTCTGCCTGGCGGGCACCCCTTCTCGCAGATGGACACCCCTGCAATCCCAGCCCCCACAGGCTGAGGTTCTCTGCTCTAGCTGTGATCACAGGCCCAACCCACGCTTCTGCTAACTTGTTTTCCTCTCCCCTGGCCCCCGAGAAAGGAGTTCCTTAGGGGGCAGGACCAAGGGGCCTTCATCTGAGTGCTGGACCCAGACTGCTTGGGTTTGAACCCCAGCTCTGCCACATACATGCGGTGAGCCCTTGGGCGGGTCACTTCTCTGTGCTCTGATTTCCTCCCTTTTAAAGCAGATTAACAGCACCTCTACTGTGTAGCATGGTTACAATGATTAAACAAGCTAATAAACAAAAGGGCTTAGACAGCACGCAGCACACTAAACTTCTCGAAGCGGGTCTAACCATGGGGAATGGTTGAATGAATGAGTGAGTGAGTGAAAGAACGAATGAGCGGCAGGGTGAGCAGCTGGGGCACTGGCCCCTGGTTTGTTTGCTCTTTCACCTTCAAACCTAAGGGAACCCATTTCCTTAACCTCAGCAGTGTCCCTGTGGCTGATTTTTGCCGATCTTGGAGCCTCACTCCCATCACTGTCTCAGCCAGGAGGAGAGAGGGCAGTTTGGCTAACAGGGCAGCAAGATGGGTTCACCCAGGGCAGAAGGCCGTGAGCCAGGGGGCCCTCAGCCACCGCACACACCCGTCTCGGTCTTCAGGAAGCCTCTGGTAGGTTCTCTCCGTGTCCTACAGAGCACTCCTGGCCGAGGCGCTAGCACACTTTTATGGAAGAGGGTATTGAGAGAAAAGCCACAGAAGCATGAAGTGCCAAGGTTAACTTGGACTCCAAAGTCTCAGGTGCCCCTCTGCCCCGGGGGTCAGCTGCCAGGTGAGTCATTTTGGATTTCAATGGTCTGAGCTGAAAAGAAACACCACTTGTGAAAGTGGCTGGGAACTTGCAAAGTTCTGAGCAGGGCACTTTGTACTGAGGCCCTCAAACCCACAGCCGGGGTGTGGGGCCTGCCGGCGAGGCCACACCCACAGAGTCCCCCGTGAGCACCGCCCCCAGGTGCCCCCCCCCGCGGAAGACGCTCCAGGCAGGTGCCCGCCTCCCGCCCCGTTCCCCCGCCCCGGGGCCGCAAGGTTCTCCTCCAGCGCGCACCTGTAGGCATCCAGGACCCGGAAGCCCTTGGAGAGCGCCAGGCGCGTGAGGAAGGCCCGGCGGCTGCGGCCCATGTGTGGCTCGGCCAGGTAGATGGCGACGCCGGGGAAGCGCGCCTCGGAGGAGGCAGGGCCGCCGGGGGCCCCGACCTGCGCTCGCCGCCGCTTCGGGAGCATCCTGTCTCGGCCGCGGGCAGGCGCCGGAAAAGGCACGCGGAAATCGGGAGAAAGGCGGCGAAGGCCGCTGGAAGGGGAAGCGGCACCTGGGGGTCCCGGCGAGAGGCCTCCCCCAGGCAAATCAGGCCGCTCCGGGCCCGCAGGCGCTCCCCGGGATCCAGTCGGCGCGGCGCCCGGGCTCCATGCAAATAGCGCCGGAGGACACGCCTTATATGCAAATGACTCGTGGAGGGGCTGGGAAGTGCGCCGGCGCGGGGCGAACCGGGCGAACCGGGCGGGGCCGGGGTGGAGCCAGTTAGCGCCGGGGCGGGGCCGGGGCGGGATGGAGCCAGTGAGTGCGGGGGCGGAGTCAAGGCGGAGCCAGTGAGCGCGGGGGCGGGGTCAGTGAGCGCGGGGGCGGAGTCAAGGCGGAGTCAAGGCGGAGCCAGTGAGCGCGGGGGCGGGGTGGAGCCAGTGAGCGCGGGGGCGGAGTCAGTGAGCGCGGGGGCGGAGTCAAGGCGGAGTCAAGGCGGAGCCAGTGAGCGCGGGGGCGGGGGCGGGGGCGGCGTGGGTCCCCGCAGGGGTGCTGTGCAGTGAGGGGAAAGACATGGGGACCCGCGGGGCGGGGGCGGGTGGGAGCAGGAGGTTGGAACGGGCTGGGCTGGTCTTCCTGTGGGTGGTGTGGGTACCACTGGCTGGCCGTTTGGAAAAATAGAAGCTGGCTTCCTCTGTCAGTCCGCAAGAGCAGAATAAAATCCAGATGGATGAAACATCCACATCCAAGAGGAAGCAAACTCGTCCTGGAAAGTGGACGGATGTTTTATGGTCAGTCGCAGTAACCCTGGAGAAGTGGAAGAAGAGAATGGCAGACTTGACCGTATGCAAATTGAAAATGTGATAAAATTTAAAATTAAAAGGCAGGCAGGGGAGGAGGGGGGAGTGTGTGATATATTTTGAAATTGTCGAATTCCTGTCATTGTGAAACTGTCCACAGATGAATAAGAAAAAGACAATGAGGGCAGCCCGGGTGGCTCAGCGGTTTAGCTCCGCCTTCAGCCCAGGGCGTGATCCCGGAGTCCCGGGATCAAGTCCCACGTTGGGCTCCCTGCATGGAGCCTGCTTCTCCCTCTGCCTGTGTCTCTGCCTCTCTCTCTTTCTCTCTCTGTGACTATCATAAATAAATAAAAATTAAAATAAAATCAAATCAAATAAAAGCATTTCCTTCCCTCTGAATGTCCTCTGCCTCTGGCCAGGAGGTAGAGGCAACTTCTAATGACCCATCACATCCTAATGCTACAAATGCTGGGCAACTTGCAAAACTGAGGAACACAGGGCCTTCTACAGGCCCTGGGAGGCCTTGTGAGAGGAGGAGGACCCTCCATGCTGATTGAGTGGAGACCTAAGCCCTGTGAGCAAGGCTGCAGGACTGCGTGTGAGGTGCTATCTCTCCCTGGACCATTGGGTCACCACCGTCTGGCCCGCTGGGAAGTGGAAGCCTTAGCCCTCTCCTTCCACTAAAGCTGCCTGGGGGATTCCCAGACTCCTCAGTCCCCAGCCTCAGAGACTGTCCTCATGCTGAGACCACCTGTCAAAACGTCAGAGAGGCCCTTGCAGCCTCGCTGGGGGCTGCAGTCCCCCACTTGCTCTGGACTGTGGCTGTCTCACTCACTCTTGCCCGGATATATGAGTTTGCATTTTTCCAAGATCAATCCCATCTAGCCATTTCCTGTTTCCATTTCCAGCTCAGAGAGGTCCCTGGGGGTGATCTTTCCACCCACATGACCTTCACAAAACCTCCCCGTGGACCACCTTCTCAAAAACTCACTTTGGTGCTTTTTGCACCTGCCCCTGGCCTGTGGGGCTGGGGCCCTGCCCAGGCTCTGGGGCCCACCCCTCCTCTGGGTTCCTGGCTTTTGGAGCTGCTTGCCAGCAGCATTCCAGGAGCGCATGATCAGACTGCTGATGCTGCTGGCCGGGTGGCTCTGGCACTCGCCCTGGGCCTTCCTGAGCTTCCCTCTACACCATGGTGGCTGTGGGGTACCTGCTGTGTTAGCTCAGGTGGGTGTAACAAAATTCTACACCAGAAGCTTGAATGACAGACACTTCTCACAGTCTAGAGGCCGCAAGTCCAGCATCAAGTACAGGCAGGCCGACTTCATTCTGAGGCCTCCTGTCAGCACGCACGGCCTGTTCCTGAGCTGCAAGGAGACACAGCAAGAGAGAGATCTCCACCTCGCCATTCGCCGCTAATTCCATTCAATCAGGACCCTACACTTAGGACCGCATTTAACCTTATTGCTTCCTAAAAGCCCTATCTCTGAATATACTCACATTGGGGGTTAGGGCTGCAGCATGTGAATTTGAGGGGTGGAGGAGGAAGACACAATTCAGCCCACGGCACTTTGCGTTTTCACATCCCACGATAAACCAAGTGGCTTAAAACGAGAGAATTTTATTCTCTCCCAGCTCTGGAGGCCAGAGTTCCAAGATCAAAGTGTAAGCAGGGCCATGCTTCCTGTGGGGGCTCTAGGAGAGGACCCTTCCTGCCTCTTCTAGCTTCCAGTGGCTCCTGGGAGGGCTAGGCTGGTGACTGCCTCGCCCCATCCCACCGTTCCTCTATTCTTTTCTTTTTTAAGATTTTATTTAGTCATGAGAGACACAGAGAGAGAGGGAGACACAAGCAGAAGCAGAAGCAGGCTTCCTGCAGGGACCCCCATGCGGACTCCGGTGCGGCACTCGGTCCTGGAACTCCAGGCAGTAGCTCAACCGCTGAGCCACCCAGGTGGCCCCCTCCCTTCCTCTTTTCTGATGAAGGCCCCAGTCATTGAGGTTAAATAAAGCCTGCCCTTCCTAATTCAGGGTGACCTCATCTTGAAATTTCTTATCTTAATGACACCTGCAAAGACTTTTATTCCAAATAAGGTCCCATTCTGAGGTTCCAGGTGGACATGACTTGGGGGCACCACCGTTCGACCCACCACTCTGAGTCTACAGCTCTGACCTGGGCTCAGCTCTGGGCTCTGCTAATGGACTCTGTGGCCAACCTTCCCTGATCTGCAAAGATCTGTCAGAGCCACAGGATTTCATTTCTGATGGGAATAGATGTGCTAGTGCTAGGGGCTGTGGCTTACCAAGGGCCTGGAACATTGTATACCAAGAAGAGATGCTTTGCTTCTGAGAAACCATACTGCCTTTTTAGGGGGGGTGGTTGCTGACTGGATGGTGCCTTAGCCCATCTGGGCCGCTATACTAAATATGTAGCTGGTGGCTTATAAACAGTAGATGTTTACTTGTCAGGGTTCAAGAGTCTGGAACTGCAGATTCAGTGTTGGGGAAGGTTGCACCCTTCTCGCTGTGTCCCCACACGGTGGAAGGGGTGAAATAGGGCACCTCGTTCATGAGGGCCCTGATTCCATCCCGGAGGGCTCCACCCTCATGACCTCATTACATCTCAAGGCCCACTTTCTGAATCTAGCACCCTGGGTGTCAGGATTCCATCCCGTGAATCTGGGGGTGGGGGTCAGGGGGACACAAACAGAGTCTGTGTAAGAAGGAGGTAGGGGAGTGGGAGGCCTCAGGTCAGGATCTGGAGAGGCCAGAGGGTAGAGGACAGCCTCTGAACCCCTGGCCCTGCAACCACAGGAACTGGGCCTGAGGGTGATGGACTAGAGGCTCGTGGTTCAGTGCATTTCTCTGGGTTCATCTGGCCAACCAGCCCTGGCTCAGTGGGGCGCCACAGTGGGGACCTAAGGGGTTATGAGAAGAGGGACATTCACTGACCCAAATTCCATCACAAATGGACAAAATTGTCTACTCTTCCCACCACAGTTTATTTCATTTATGTAATGACAAGATAGAAGGTCACTCTTCTCTTGAAGGAGTGCGACAGCCATCAGTGAAGGGAGACCTCGCGGAGACGGAGCTGGACGCTCCAGCAGGGGACGCTCGCAGCCCTCCCAGCGAGGCCATCCGCGGACCCCACTGGAAGAGCCCAGCTTGGCCTCCCAGGCCGGACCTGGGAGGCGGGAGCCCTTCTGGACAGACGGACAGACAGACGCTTCCCTGCAGGCCCCCCGCACCCGCCCTGCCGCCTCAGGTTTTGCCAGCGTGTGGGTCTCAGATTGCAGTTCTTTTATTCCCGAATAAACCATCTGTTCCTGGTAAAACAACTGGCAGTTTTATTGTTAAGGTTAACAGAACCAATGCCCTTTATTTAGATATCGTCCCATTTACTACTGTTATCACTGAAATAAAACACAGAAAGCATGATTGGGTGTTCCAGTACTGGCTTCACGGAGAGCCCTGGGCTGGCAAGTTGAGCTGAATGGCCAAGGTTGCCTTGGAGAGCAGCCCGCAGGGTGCAGGGTCTTAAGAGGTCAGATAGGGAGGCAGCAGATGGCCCCATGTTGTGAGACAGGTCAAGGTCAGAATCTGCCCTCTGTCCTTCCCCAGAGGAAGACAGGTGGTGGGGCTGCAGCTCAGGGGGTGTCTAGGTCAGCGCCCTGTGCGGTTGGAAAGGGATGGGGTCTGGTGCCACAGTGGGGGGTCCTCACTGGTACACCGTGACATTCACGGTCAGTGTGGAAGAGGCCACATGCTGTGCCCCTTACTAGTTACGGTGTACACTGTTCTCTTCCCAGGCACAGAATCAGTCCTCCCGTCACGTTCCCACCTTACAGATGGAGAAACGGGTGTGGAGCTGAAGTGCTGTTTCCAAGGTCACAGAGACACAGCCATGACTGAGACAGTGGCTGCTTGACTGCTGAGGCATCCCCTCAGCAAATCATGCTGTGAGCACGCTCTGGCCTGAGTACCATGGGCACGGCATACTGGACACACAGCAGTCTCTGCCTTTGTTGCATTTTAGTGGAAGTAAGGTGGTATCAGTGCTGCTGTAAGCCACCCAGCTCTGGGGCCACTTGTTACGCAGCAACAGATAGCTGCTATGATGATGGGGAGCGCCGACAGGCAGAACCGGGCCACGGAGGCAGAGGGAGGCTGTGGCTGTGTGTGGCTGGGGTGGGAGCTGCACTGCGAGGCGAGGAGGCACCCTGTGGGGGGTCCGGGTGCCAGGAAGAGCAAGCACCTGTGTCACCCACACAGAGGATGCAGGGAGGGTCAGAAAGGGAGGCCCTTTGGCCACAGGAAGGTCTTTGACTTTTACCCAGAGGAGAGGCTTTGAGCAGGGGCAGGATGGGACCCCACTCAGGTTCCACAAGCCCGTGCTGCCATCCTGAGAGGATGGAAGAGAGCAGACCCCTCAG